CAAGAAAACATCAAATAAACAACATAAACAATCGTTCATCCCCCCCCCCCAAGAGTGCTACGTATCAGAGCGACCAACGACACCTTGACGGGAACTACGCTCTATTCTTGACTACCTGCAAATTACCACCAGAGGAGGTAACATACAACGAAAAAGGGTGAGATATCAATAATATAACATAAAGCATGATAGAAAACATGTCGGAACTCATCACAACATTATAGGTTTCGAAATCATAAACATCATCGACAACAACTGCGAGTAATCCATATCTCACATAAACAACATTAACATACAACTAGCGTAATTATGCGACTTAATGTAACTCAACAATGCGACTCAACTGTGCATATGCATGTGGTACCATTTTGGGAGACAACTCTCCACAACTCGGGACAGGGCCAACACCCCGAACCCCTCTAGGAGCCAACACTCCAAAACTCGGGACATGGCCAACACCCCGAACCCATCTAGGAGCCAACACTCCAAATAACGCCAATACAGGCACAACCGTCGCCAATCCAGGCCAAATGTTATGCCATGAAATGCATCTATTATGGACTACAACACAACCATAACAACCATATAACAAGGCATTATGCCTACAACCAGAATGTCCATAACAGAGCATCATAACATCATACCACTCATACAACTATCACTTTCTACTCGTTCACATATGGGAACAATAACAACATAATTTCAACATTTACGACTGTTCATGTAAAGGAACATTGCAACATCGTATCAACAAATAGGAACTCAAAGTGTTCATACAAAACGGCTATTCCTATACAGGTATAACATCAACATCAGTTCTACAATTAATCTTTAACATGTTATCGTAATAACAACATTACGGCATCTTCTCACATAATTAATTACAAATCAATCACAACCAGGTAACTGTCCTTTTTGGACCAGTACCTGAAACTGGTGCCTTAGACCAACTCGGCCATCTTGACGCCCATTAGGGAAAACCATTAGAGCGTTGTACGAATAACCGTATAGCATATTCGTTCTACGTATTTGCCCATAAGGAAAACCTTAGAGCATCGCACTAATAACCACATAACACATTCATTCCTACATAGAAATCTGGTACCATTAGGGAACCCTTTTCCTTAACATCTATCGATTAACGAAAACTATACCTCTGACTCGATCCCCACATGAATTCGATCATACTCCCAGTTATAGAATTGAACCCCACCCTTACCTTAGAATTGAGGCCAATTTCGCGCTTTCCGATTCCGCTTCTGCTCTACGGTGATTTTTCTGCAGAAATCTCCGGAATTCGCCGATGGATGATTCTTCGCTCTCCACTTCTCTCAATGCGTAACTTCTCTTTTCCGTCTTTCCTTTCCCAAAAAAATGATGTAATTGAGGGTAAAAGAGTCTACGGGAATATATTTTTGCTACAAAATCTCATTCCACCAGAACACGTTCAAATTCTGCATAACTGTAGTTTTTGCTCGTGTGACGGTCGTCACACCCTGTGACGGTCGTCATAGCAGAAAAATTAAATTTTTATCAATTTTTTTCTAGATAGAACATCTCTTTAGCTTCCCAACTCTTCGAACGGGGGTCAAATCCGACTTACGGATCAAGAGATATCATTTTATGAAGTTTCCTAAAACTGCTACGGAATTGTACACTTTTTCCCTACAATTCGACCGATTCAATTTCCTTCCTTCGATCCAAACACATACTCAACTACGACTACGATGCAACGAGACATAGCAAAGTTACAATTGAATTTAATCGAAGTAAAACGAGCGTTATAACTCTAACGGAGAAGGACCATACCGTATACATCAAAAGCCCCCACACGGAGCGTACAAGTTGCAAGAACTCGAAGGGCCACTTTTGCCTAGGACTTGGAACTATCTTGATGTTAGATAATATTATTTTTAAAATTATTTGTAATTCTCTATTAAAATCATGTATTTTTACCTCTGAATAATTATTAAGTAACTAATTCCCAATAGAGATGCTCTTTCCTAAAAATATTATTTTTAGACTTCACGGTGAAGATCCTTGTCGCCTTTCAGGGTAACACCTCCTTTTCTGGACATCATGGTTAAGATCTTTGTCGCCCTTCAGGGTAACATCTACTTTATTGGACTTCACGGTGAAGATTTTTGTCCCCCTTCACGATAACATCTCCTTTGCTCGACTTCATGGTGAAGATATTTGTCGCCCTTTAGGGAAATGTCTCTCTTGATGGACTTCATGGTGAAGATCCTTGTTGCCCTTCAAGGCAACATCTCCGTTGTTAGACTTAATGGTAAAGATCCTTGTCACCCTTTAAGGCAACATCTCTCTTACTGGACTTCATGGTGAAGATCATTGTCGCCCTCTAAGGTAACAACTCTATTGCCGAACTTCATGGTGAATATCATTGTCGCCCTTCAAGGAAACATCTTAGTTGTTGTACTTCATGGAGAATATCCCTGTCTCCCTTTAGATAAACATCTACGTTGCTAAACTTCATGGTGAATATTTATGTCGCCCTTCAAGGTAACATCATCGTTGTTGGACTTCATGGTGAAGATCCTTGTCACCCTTCATGGTAACATCTCATTTGTTGGACTTAATGGTGAAGATCTTTTCCGCCTTTCAGGGTAACATCTCCTTTTCTGGACTTCATGGTGAAGATCCTTGTCACCTTTCTGGGCAACATCTCATTTACTAGGCTTCATTGTGAAGATCCATGATGACCTTCATGGAAACGTATCTTTTGGTGGGCTTCATGGTAAAGATATTTTCCGCCTTTCAGGGAAAAATCTCTTTTGTTGGGCTTCATGGTGAATATCCTTTTAGCCCTTTAAGGCAACATCTTCTTTGTTGGGCTTCACGGTGAAGATCATTTTCACTTTTCAGGACAACATCTCATTTACTGGACTTCATAGTGAATATCTTTGTCGTCTAATAGGGCAACACAAATAGGCTAATTAAATCCCCGCTTGAAGGACTTGGTGTTTCCTCGAGCAAGATCAAACTTAAGGATCGTGCCTGAAAGGCGTGATGGATGTCCAGCCAAAGAGACTTCGTAACAAGTCTTGCTTGAGGTCTCGATAGAAGTCCCTCCTAAGTAGGTTAAAATGCCTCGCCTGAAGGATTAATATTCTCATCAGTCGGGATATATACAATTTTTCTCGAGGGACTTAGATTCCCCATGATAATTATGATATAGTCTAAGGGACCTAATGTCTCTTCGGGCGGGACAAAACTCAAGGGTCACACCTGAGAGGTGCGATGGATGTCCAGCCTGAGAGACTTGATAACAAGTCTTGCCTGAGGGCTTGATAGAAGTCTCGTTCAAGTAAATCAAAATACCTTGCCTTAGGGAATAATAGTCTCATCAGCCGGACTATGTACAATTTTGTCTAAAAGACTTAGATTCTCGAGGCCAACTAAAACTTTTCCTGAGAGACTTAATGTTTCTTCATCCAAACCTCCCAGGGTAGCTAAAAACCTTGTTAGAGGAAGCACTGGTTCTCAGGATACTCCTATCAACCAGGAATAAAGTGACACTTCATCTTCTACTAAATACCTTGTGTTTGATGGACTATGTAGTGTTATATTTGTAAAAGGCCTCGTCTAGGGCGATGCTTAGAAGAGGCAACGATACAAGGTTGCTCGAAGGAAGATATCACATCGCCCTGTAGTCTTCCCTTTCCCTTACGTGGGAAAAATGGGATAAGACATTTCTCGAGCAAAGAGAAAGTCAATGTCATTAACTGAACTATAACTCCTTGAAAATAGGGACTCAATTATCCACTATTGACTAAGTGGTCTGTGGTCATTTCTGAGAAAACTTTAGGTCCTAGAGACCTATATAAATACATATTCTCTCAAGGAGAAGGAAACCTCAAGTAATACACACTCTCTACACCCCAAAGAGCACATCACTTACTACTGTTTTAACACTCTCTCTACACCCTAAAGAGCACACCACTTACTACTGTTTTAACACACTCTCTACACCCTAAAGAGAATAACACTCACTACAGTATTAACACACCACCGTCGGCGATTGTATGCTTGCTACCAAGCATCATCGGTCATCAGCAAGGCCTCTCAGATCACGTGAGCAAGTCTCATAAGTAACCTCAAAACACCACCGTATAGGGCTTCTCGTTGTCATAAGCAAACTCTTACCACCAAAATGTGTTATAAATCTACTAAACGATACAGTTTATTTGGTCAAACAAAACGATACAGTTTCAAACACTCTTTTCTTTCCCTCACCCACTCCACTTCAACCATCTTCTCCATTTCCGCGCTCATCCAACAACAACAACAAAAGTTCCAATTTCCAACTTCAATGTCTTCTTTGTCTTCACTACTACTAAGACCTCTGAGTCTCTCTGCCCTTACAAAAAAAACATGTACACTTGTATTTTTTGACCAATACAATTACATTATGGTTCCATTAAAAAATAAAAGGTTAGACTTATTTCCAAAGATTAGACTTATTTCTAAGGGTTACACCCAACTTAAGGGTGTAGATTACTTTAATACATTCGGTCTTGTTGCAAAATTGACCATATTCATAATAATTTTAGCAATAGCTAGGTGGTTTTGGTAACAATTTGATGTGGATAACATCGTTTTACATGGCAATTTAACTGAAAAACTCTTCATGTCAAATTCTCCTGGCTTATCTTCTTCCATCTCTTATTTGTCCAACAGAATTTGTAGAATACATAAGTCATTATATTACCTCAAACAGGCTAGTATGAAATTGAATTCTAAGTACACGCGTGCTCTCTCACACACACTTTTATCACTCGAATATAACAATCTTGTGCTGATCATTCTCTCTTCATCAAAAGAAAATATGTTTTATTACAGTTTTATTGACATATATTAATGATATTGTGTTGGCAACCAATAAATATTATTAATACAAATTAATAATCATGAAGGTAGTCGAATCATAGTAGAAATATTTTATATGTAATTATGCTAAATGCCATAAGGAATTTCAATTATACGGATGGTAAATTATCAAGCCATCCATCCTTATTTACAAAAGATGACAAACTATATTCATTTAAGTTTAAGCTATTTGCTTTCTTCTCCCACCCAACACGTTTCTCAGTATTGGCCCCAGGTCCTGTACAATTTACTTCTGCAAAGATAGTATTTTGCCTGCATAAATTTAGTTACAAATTAAATAAAATAAAAAAACATATTTTACTATAAAAAAATTAATCATAGTTTGAAACAAAATAATTGTGCTTTTTCTGTTATGTAACAAAATCAAACTTACGCTTCACTTAACGTTAAATTCCAACGATCCCATCCTTGAGGAGTTACGACGGACGAAAAATATGTTTCCCAAAATATAACTCTTGAGTAAGGACCCCAAGGTCTACCAAGATTCACTTGACCAATTCCATCAATGCGTCCTCCTTTGAAAACATAACCATTTGGACTATTCGGCAAATCTCTACGTTGTGCAGTGACAAAACCTATAGGTTTTGATTTCGCTTGAGTTGCATTGATCATACAATTCTACAAAAGTTAAATATTCACGAAAAAATAGTTAAGAACAATAAAACAAATAAAACATTTACCGAACTACTATTAATGATTAACATGTTTTATTTAAATATATGCAACTTTAGTTACCTCGAAATAAGATTGACCTTCACCGAAAATGAAGTCTGCTTCACCTTCAACATAACAATTTTTAAAATATTGACGCCGCTTTGATGAAAGCAAGGTATCTTGATAACCAGTGAAACTACATTCAAAAATTGCAGTCTTATCACCATATATTGAAGCTGCTACTGCTGGTCCATCATTTCCATGTGTATTCTACAATTATATAAAATGCATTAGAGTATGGTGATCAATATTGTCAAAATCGAAATCTTACATGAGATTGAAAGAGAATATTAAAATCGTAAAATATAAAATCGTAATTAAGATCGAAAGATTCTACTCATCTATTTTTATAGAATCAAAAGGGGATAATAACATCATAGGATTTTACCAAAATAAATATAAGGAAATGTTAGATTGACACCACTTTTGGTGTTCAACTACGCATCGTATATTATAATTTTATTTTTTTAATTAATTTTTTCTCTCACTTCTTTTTAATTTACCAATTATAAATTATGTATTTTTATATTGCTCATAAAAATAATATTAAATATATATACTATGTTATATATACTTAAAAATACACGTATAAAAAAAAGAAAAAATATAAAAATTATTTGAAAAAGAAGATATATAAAAATTGTATGAAAAAGAAAAAAAGAAATACTAGTTATTAAAATTTCAAAAAAAAAATAATTAAAAAATAGAGCAAAGAAAAAGGAGATATGTGTGGTGGCTTGTTTGTGATGTTGTGTCACTCAGACTACACACAAAGAAATGTTAATATGTGATAATGCCAATTCAACTCACTTTTTAAAAACCGACCAATCACATGACTGCAAAATTATTTATGTGTTTAAAAAAAGCAAAAGCAAAAACAAAAACAAACCAGAAGATGTAAACGAAAATGAAAACGAAAAAGTAAAAGAAAATGAAAAATGCAGGTGTAGACAAAAACGAAATTTGAGGCTTTCATTACGTAATAAGCAAAAACACAAAAGACCATAATAAAGAAGCATTCGGTTGCACCTGCGTCAAAATTAAACTTCAGAAGTCTGAAATATTTCTAAAAATCTTCGTGCGATTCCGCGATCTGAATCGTGATTTTGATAACATTGATGGTGACAAAGCTTCACCAACATATGAACCAAGGAGTTTTCGATAAAATCATATAAGAAGATTCATAAGAGGAAGATGATGTGTGATTTTATGATATTTACCTGGAATGTAATGCCAATCAAAATTACATTAGGTGGAGATGAATGAAATGTTGCACTATTAGAAGTGCCAATATCATTAGCTGCATCATTGTAGGTAATGATTGTGCTATTATTACCAGATCCTTTTAAAATAATGCATGGCTTTCTTGGATGTATAAGAACTTTTTCCCTACACAGTTTAAAAATATGAACACATTATAAAAAATAATAATATTTATCATCAAATTAACATGTAACAATATTTTCACTTACTTGTATACACCAGGATTTATTTTAATTAGAACCCATCGATCATTTGGATTCTTTACAGAATCAAGGGCAGCTTGAACTGATTTAAATGCTCCTTTTCCTCCTTGATCAACAATGATGGTGTTTGCAACTTTGTTACCACCACAATCTATGGCTCTTCCAAGAGAAAAACAACTCATAAACAATACTAAAAGAAACATCGTTGATAGAGGAAGAAACAATGTCATAGTTAGTGATAATTATATATTTTCTTCTAGCATAAATACACTTGAAAATTAAAACATCATATTTAATCATTTATTTTGTCAGATATTATTAATTTACTTTCTAAAATATGAGATTCTCCTCTTTAAGATATGCGATCATTTTCCTAAAATGTGCCAAACTTTTTTACCAAAGATATTACATAATATACTCACTTTATTTCTTTTCTATATATGAAGATCTTAATAGATAAAAACATAATAAATAAATAAAAAAAGATATTTTATTTAAATTATAAATAAAATTAAATATATATTAAAAAAATGTATACAAATATTTAGTAGAAATTTAACTCATCAAAATTTAGTTTTTTTCTCACATTTTCACCTCTTATAATCTTCGATTTATAGAAGTGTTTATACCATTTAATAAAAAGAAATAATTCTATGAACAATTTTAACAATATTGATAACAAAGTATTTTAATTAATAACCGACAATATGTGAAATAAATTTTTTGTACAGATCTCACAAACTAGTGAAAAAAATTGTAAAAAGTTAGGCTAAAATAAGTTAAAAATCTCTCTATTTACTACTATATTTATATTAAGTTTTCCTACAAGACCGACCGTGTACATCAAACATTGTATTTATGATACATTGAATCTCAAATAAAAATAGGGTTTAATAGAAATGTATTTACAGTGTAAATTTTTTTCCTTAACTATGTCAATTAATAAAAATATATCACTATGTTACATCATATAAGTAATTCAAAACTTTTAATTTGATTATATAATCGTTATTGATTATATAAAATTAATTTAATATAGTTTATTTTTTTTAAATGTTAAATTCATTTCATTAAATACACATAATATTTTTTAAAAGTTTGATTATTTATGCTTTCAGAACATTTTTTTTTTGTGTAAGCAAGCAATAAATTATATTAAAGAGAACTAAGCGTTCTCTAAACACCACTTACAAAAATAGGAAAGGGACAAGACCCTAAAATCAAGAAAATACAAACCAAATTGAAGACCATTGAATATATATGTATTCAAAAAGACATGTCTTTTTAATTTCTCAAATAATAATCAAGTTAATATTTTAATCTCTTAATCAATGTTTCGGGAAACTCGTTAGTATTTCTCTATTATTATTTAACAATTTTTTTCTATGTTATTTAAGCAAAACAACTGGACCATCTTGAAGGTTATTAAATATTAATAAGTTATTAGACATATCTTTCTATTTTTTTCAGTTATAAATGAGTCTATGGTTCTATTTATGGTGTCCGTTACCTCTGAAAGTTATGAAGTTGAAGTTGCTCACAACATCCTGGATGAGTATTTTTCCGTAAACGAAGCATTATATATCACAAGATGAAAGTAACATTAATAATTAATTTAACACATATTCTTGCCATGAATTCGTCACTCATTCATGAATTACGTGTCTTTGAACATTGAAAAATATAGATGGAAAATATCATTATTCTTCCACAATGGATATGCTACGTTCTGAGCCTACGCAACTTGCTCAATTGATCATTCTAATTGAAGTAGCTCATCGAACAGTCTCGTACTTTGGTGTTCTGAGCCATGTTTTCTATCCTCTTTAATTTCCATCTTACACAAATTTTTTCACTTAATTTAATTTCATTCTAGACATGTCCATTATGATGTTAGATGTCTTCAAAATTTGAAGTATGCAAAGTTTACTTGACATGTAGAATTGCATTGCACTGGCTCTTTCAATAACAAACACAATTCTAGATTCTCAATCTAAAGCACTACTATCATGCATCGTATTATGGGCAATTCCACGTATGTTGATCTATTTGTATATCGATTTTTATCTCACCCGATTTGTTTTCGAGATAACAAAGACCGTTACATTTAAAATTAAGTTATAACTCTTTCAATTTCTGAACATATAATTTTGCCTTTATAACTCTAACATTTCTCTACTCATCCATTCATTTATCATCTTCGTAGGTTATATCATCTCCTTCATAGTCATTGAACTTTTATGAAGTTGAATATATTCACTCTTATGTAGTGAGTTTTTAGTCATTTTGTTTATGACGTTTCTATTTAATTAAGGATCCTTTCATAATGATACAAACAACTTGGGTTGGTTTTGATTATGCATCACGATACTTTTATTGGTTATTTTATTGCTAACATATTTTTTTGAAAAAATCTTAATCTTATGTAATTTAAGAGTTAACTTTCCCGTGCGGATGCACGAGTCTTCTATTAGTATATTCAAAAAAACATGTCTTTTTAATTTTTAAATAATATCCATCTTACTATTTTAATCTCTTAATCAATGTTCCAGAAAATTCGTTAGTATTTCTCTATTATTATTTAACAATTTTTTTCTATGTTATTCAAGCAAAACAACTAGACCATCTTGAAGGTTATTAAATATTAATAAGTTATTAGACATATCTTTCTATTGTTTTCAGTTATAATTTATTTTTTAAAATATAACAATTTATTAACAATTCAAATAAAAAAAATATTGTATGTTTAGTTCAAGATTCTTTAAAACATATTTTTAGAAATTCAAATAAAAAAATATTTATGTTATATATTTAGAAAAAAAATTATTTTTAGTCCGTTGTAATTAGTGTCTTGGAGTACTCGTTAATATTTTCTTAATTTAATTACTTAAATATATAAAAATTAGACAACTTTCAACAAAAATTGTATTTATAAAAAGAAATACAAATTTGTACAAAAATCATACTAATACCTCCGTAATATATATGAAATTAAAAGAAAAATACTTACCTAAAAATAATTTAAAATTGTAATACTTTATTAAAATTACTTTAATGTTATATAGATTGACGATAGGAGTGGGGATCAATTTATTTTAAGAGTAAGTTTTTTTTATCTTATTCCAAATCATAACATTTGAATTTTATCTGTTCTAATGATTAATTAGTTTGTTTATTTAGTTATTAGTTAACCATTAGATTAGATTCAATCCAATAGCTATGATTTAGAGTAAGCTAAAAAAAATTCACTATTGAAGTAAGATATATATATATATATATATATATATATATATATATATATATATATATATATATATATATATATATATATATATATATATATATATATATATATATATATATATATATATATATATATATATATATATATATATATATATATATATATATATATATATATATATATATATATATATATATATATATATATATATATATATATATATATATATATATATATATATATATATATATATATATATATATATATATATATATAGTTGAGAGAGGGTTTGAAATTTTCATGTCAAAAAATTGTAATTGAAAGGTGGTTTGCAATATTTTCATTCAAAAATTATAATTTGGTGGATTTTAGAGATGACAATTAGACTCATTCTCAGTGGGTATCCGTAAAAATTACTCACAACGAGTAGAGTAAAAACTCGTAAAATGGATACGAGTATGGACGCAGACAATTATCCACTAAAATAAGCGGATATGATTACCTTCACACCGACATACCCTAATTTTCAACCCTAAAATTCCACCTCCTGTACATCATTTTGGCATAACATCAATCATCTCATGTGCGTTTTTTTTTTCTGGCATTGCTAACCATATTAAGATTACAAGTGTATGTGCTTTGGTTTACTTTGACTGCAAACTAGGATTTTGAAACAAAGAGCTCAAGAAGTTGACCCTTTAAGGAGTAATGTGATCCTCAACCTCTCAACATGATAAAAGGTCTCCTTACATCAATGATCAAGTGCAATATTTCATCAATATCACTTCATCAAGCCCCAAGTCATATAATACACTAAATTGGGGTTTTGACCTAATTCAACTATGAGTTGACTTTTTGAGCAAGGCATGATCCCACACTCCAAGACATATTTCAAAGACCTAAGTGTACCATCTTAACTCATTCATATGATTGGATTGATTCAAGAGGCTTGATTCGTTGACAATTGAAAGATTTGAATTCGTTTGAAAAAGTCAAATGTTCATCAAAGTCAAAGTTTGACTTTTGAAAGTTTTGGTTAAACATGGACTCCACAAGTCAAAGATCATGAGTATAAGTGAATTTGATCATGACTAATCAATAAAATCAAAGAAAACATCGAAAGATTCAAAGTTGTGAAAACTAGGGTTTTGAAATTTTTTCTAAGTTACAAAATCCTATGGCAAATGACCTACTTTCCAAAACCCTAACTTCTTCCTCAAGCATCTAATGAAAACAGTTGAGGACTCATTTTAAAGATGGTATTACATACTTTAAATAGGTGAAAGAATGGACCCAAAAGCATTTACCAATTGAAAGTTATGATTTATCAAAGTTGGGATTTCTTAAGATGCGAAAGTGTCAATACTTAGAATCTTTTCCAAGTCTAAAGCAATAAAAAGTCTAATTTTGATGGCCAATTATCACAGTGACCCAATTGGAATCTTTCCAAGTGATCAACACCAAAGTTGCAGTGTTTGATCTCATCTTTCTAATGGTAAAAAGAACATGGAATTATCTTGTTTGAGCATGAAGTTATGAATTTGTAAAGTAGCCATGGTAAGACAACTTGAACCAAGACAGATTTGCACAAGAGTTCACAGTCAGATTTTTACACGATTTGGATGACACTTTTACCAACTTTCCAAGCATTTTCAGAAGATATGATCAACTTGGAACTTGTTCTTTGGATTGCAATCTTTCCAATTGTACTAGATTCTACCCTAATTGATCTTGTTTCATTATACAAAAGCATCATCCAACATGTCAACTTGAGTTACTTCTGGATATTGGACAAAAGGCTCCTTTTTGCTTCCAACCATTTTCCATGATTCAAAGAAGTCCCATATGCATCAGAAACAACTTGTTGAAGTTGTGCAGCCATGGAAAACATCAGAAGCAATGTTAACTTAGGGAGGCTAGAAAGTGAAAAGTGCTTTTGTACTTGAAAACTAACTTTTT